CCTATTGTGCAACGTTGTTAATTATCATGATGTTAAACTTGTGACAATATGGTGTTGGTATTTCCACTTGCAATTGAAAAAATAAATTTATAACTAAAAAATTAGACTTGCAAGATCATTTTAAATTATTTCAATCAACTAGTTACTTTCTAACAAAAGAAAAAAAAAATACAAGAATTAAAGATCAGCATAAATCAACTAGTCATGATTAATTACTACAACGTGTTGTGCCGATATTTTTGAGAAGCATCTTCAACCACCCAAAATAATTGATTTTCATTTTCATTTTTTTTTAAAAAGACAGATTTCTTTTTTAACTTATGCATTAAAAAATGTTTGTACAGGTAATCATTTTATTAATCAATCTTTAATGTCAAACTAGGTGTCCCAGAATTTTATATTTTGAAGGATATGAACTCAATTAGGGATTATCTCAAAAGGGAAAATACTTCATGCCAAGTATAATTGGTAAATTGGATGTAAGGACGACATAAATTTATTGGGTTAGTGGTGTAGATCAGGTATTAATTATTTAATTGGATTCTATATTTATTCAAATCTTATAAGTTTTAAGAGGAAATTTTATATAAAAAATCCCAATAAAACATCATATCAGTAAAGACTTTTCCATAAACCCTTTAAGGAAGTTTTGCAAATAAGGTGTAATCTTTTATGGATTTTGTATCGGTCTTTTTTTTTAATAGAAATGCTTCCAAAAAGACACGGAAAAAAAATGAAACGCGGAAAACATAAAACAATAAAAACATAACTAATCCTCACACTGAAAAACTCCGTCAAACTACTATTATTATGTTCATCTCAAAGAAGTGTTTTCAAATATGTCAGGGGTTGATTTCTGTTTTAATTTTGTGCTAATTTTTATTGAAAATATCTAATTAATTATTATTAATATAATGAGCGATTTCCAAACCACCTGTATATATTAGATTCTATTAAACAACATCACACTCTGAAAAATATTAATAGAAAGGTGTAAGGATTGAAAAAGCACAAATATTAGGTATGTGATTGGGACTTGTTTAGACTTCACTTTCTGGAAGGAAAGATGTATTTTCTCATAGTTTTTTACTTAGATGGCAATAAACAATTTTTCAATGGGCATTTTCTAAGTAGCTTAAAGCATGGTGTAACATCCTTGATGAATTGGGAGGCTGGTGCCCTATATATCCTCCAATATGGCAATTGTTGCTCAAACTCTAAACTTCTCCTTGGTTCTCTTCTAGATAGGAAAATCTTAAAGGGTGTTACTTCTATAATATATATAAACATACCTAATCCCAATAACACCATTATCATCAAAAGACTTTTTATGGATTTTATATATCTGTGTTTTTTTTTTAAATATTGAAAATGCTTGAAAAAGACAAAAAATAAAAAATAAATGCGTTCAGTAGGTATGAAAACAAAGAAAAAAGACAAAAAAACACGTAAAACTTCATCAATACTACTTTTTGTTCAATATGTCAGCGGTTGATTTTTGTTTGTAATTTGTGCTAAAATTAATTATTTAAAACAAAAATAGTTAACTTTTTATATTTATTATAAAAATGTGGGTCGTAACCTTTCCTATCCCATCATTTTACCTTTTTTAGACAAAATATATATATTATAATAATAGGCGTTCATCAATTATGAGTGGACTTAACAATTAAACCTCAACCTAATAGAACAACATAGATTTGACTATTTGGCCACCCTTTGAGATTAATTGAAAATTACTAATTTATTTATTATTAAATAAATGGACAGCGACTTCCAACCACTCTTATTATTTAGGTGGAAAATGTTACGTCCACAACTTTTTCTTACAAACCTTCTCTCACATCTTGACATTAAACTCACAATTTGTCAGCTCGTATGGGTCTCATCTGATAATATGATTGACCAATTGCAAATGTTACGTCGAAATTGTGAAAAAAGTGTGTGAAGAATTTGTGGGTATAACATCATCATATTAGATTTATCTATTAAACAACATCATCACTTGAAATATATTAACTGATGTGTAAGCATTGAAATATCTACAAGATATTAGTGTACGTGATTTGACATTCATAATAATTTGCTTAATTATCATTGAATCATATCGTCCATGATAAAAGCAGATCAGTCTTTCAAGTTTTTCACGCGCATTCAAATTACATCTTCTCTCTTATCTTCCTCAACTCATTTTATGTGCAAAGATTTACAGATACCGAGGAGTTTCTTTTCTAGGAAACACCAATCAGTATGATGTTTCCACTTTCAACTCTCTTCTGGTTTTACTTGGTTTAATTAACTTCTTTGTTATTATTTACTTGCTAATGTCTTTATGAACTTTAGGTTTGCAAGGATCTGATCAAAGATCTCAAATACGCTTCATTCTGATTGTGGAATTTTACTTCAGATTCTCTTACCCAAGAGGTATCAATCACAAACTTTTATACTAGCTTTTATATATATATATATATGTCCTACTTCATAAAGCTGAACTTTGCAAATTGTGATCGCAGATTCTCAAGCTCAGATAATATCATCACAGTTGGGTATGATACTTATTATCTTTAAACTTCATTATTATACTACTACAAATTATTTCATTAAAATGTTAAAGAAAGACTACAAAAATTAATGTTTTGAACTTCATTGGCTTGGCTGAAGCTTATTTAGAATGTTTAGAATAATATTGCATATAGGTTAAATTAATTTTCCATATGGGTTAAAGAAGACAAAAAATTTTGTTTAGAATAGTATTGCATATAGGTTGTCTCCATTATTCCAAGGATAGCTTTGAAATTTCGTTTTCTTATTACGTCTGCATAATTTAAGTCAGTTTATGTTAAGAATAGAGAAAAAACTTGCGAGCTAAGATTTCTGGAAAAATGATTTTCATTAAAATGCATAACAACTTATATAGTTTGAGAAGAAAAAAGGTAACTATTGACTATGTTGTCTCCTAGTTTTAGCTTATAACTCTTAACAATTTATGATATTTGACTAATCAGTAGCCATTGTTAGGTTATTGAACTNGAGTCATAATTAACATACCTGCAGCTTTGACCAAATCATGGTGGTGCAAACGATGCCAGATCGAGTCGGAATACAGAATCCAATAGTTTCAACACAAATCGTGCGTCATTCTAAGGTGTTGAAACAATCTCATATGGCTAGCCATTGAGCGATGTAAACCTCGCATCCTAAATTCTTGCATTCAAAGACCCGAAGATCTGTCGGAGTTGTCGACCACTCCAGCATTAATAGGCTACAAAGACGCATTCAGGGTCTTAGTGGCCGATTGATGAGCGGGGTGCAGGGGCAGCACCCCTGGCCCACAGGCGGTTTGTGCCTTGTCCATAAAGAACCGTTGAAAAATTTCTTTAAATTATTGATTCTTTATTAAGTTTGGGCCTAGGAATATAAGTTTTTGTAATACTAGCTTTTAGTCTTTTAAACCTAATATATAAACATTTTTTTCTCTGGTAATAAATGATAACAAATAAGAAGACAAATTACTTTCATTGTAAACGAGTGAGATGAGACAGTATTGCAATAATATTGACTTAGTTGGATGTAACCTGTTAATTGGGTGAACTAAGATAAAATCGCGCATATTTCTTCTTTCTCTTAATTGTTTATTGTTTATGGTTTGTATGTCTACTGTTATTTTGGTTTTCATATCTCTCTATTCATTACGCCACTCTTGCCTTGTTTATTGTTTATGGTTTGTATGTCTACTATTATTTTGGTTTTCATATCTCTCTATTCATTACGCCACTCTTGCCTTTGCGCCATCCGTTTTTTGTGTCGCTGTACACATCTATTCAAATACCAAATAACCTTTATTAAATAATAGTGGATTATAGGAAAAGAAATACTTGGACTCCTACTCTAACTCTACAACAATACATCTTAGACTCCTACTTCAATTCTGTAAACATTTAGGATTATATAATTTATGAGTTAATGGGAGCAATATGTTAAATATTTTAATTATTCTCTAACTTTGCTTTGTTCTAACTCACATTCTCTCTCCCTCAATTTTACTCTTCTCTCTGCGAAATGTGAATCATGCCATGCCACTGAAATCAAATGAGATACTTTAAGACTACATAATTAATCAATCTTACTTTCCTAAGACATATGGGACACCCTTTTGAGAGCTAGTAGGAACATCTCCTTGTAGCCCAAGTATAATCTCAGTCATCGCTTGAACAATCTTAGGATCCTCGCTGTAGATTTTGTAGCATCGGCCCCATCTCGGATCCCTGCAAACCTGTATAGACATAAGATTTATCAGGAGTCCACAATTAATCTGAAGAATGAAATGCTGACATCCATTAGCTGTAGGATTTGATAATGTATACCACAATGCTAGGTGCAAAAGCATATGGAATTCCCGCATCTCTAACTTCAAGTGCAGTTGCCGCTCCAATCTTTTTAACAATGATTGATAAGAAAGAAAATCTTATCACCAGTGCTAGATATTTTATCATAATGTTAAATCTTAGGATTCATTAAATTTACTTGGAATATTTCAATTTATTTTATAATTTAATTTAGTGCATTTTTTCCGTAGGTATCATAAACAACAATTAACTCTCTACTGTGAGTATCCCATTGGAGTTTTAATATTTAATTTAACGGATTAAGCATACATTATTATTTTGATGAAGTAAACATGAGACAACACTTGAACATGTTTCTTTATAAATTAAAACAACATTTACTGATGACTCATCATAATATCATTCTTATGTATCTAAGTGAAATTATTATAATAACCATAAATAAATTGTACAAATAATATTTTAATTTTTTTATTAATCATTAATTGCAGCTTCTGAACAAAAGAATCTCTTTCTGGAACATGATTGATTGATTTCATAGACATGTGCAACAGATCACTACCTTATCAAAGGAGTGGTCTAGATCCCTTATTCACTCCCCAGAAGAAAAGAAATCACAAATTTTTATTACATTTTCCTCTGCCATCGCCAACAATGAATAAAACTGAGCTTGCGTTCATCCCTCTAGCAGGCGCAGGCCACTTGGTTCCTGAAGTTGAGTTTGCAAAGCGATTGTTAGAGCGAGATGATGGGCGTTTCTCAGTGGCTGTCCTTCACATGGATTCTATTTTTACTAGAAATGTTGTTACACATACGTTATATAAATCACTTGCAGAATCTAATACTCCAATAAGGTTCATCAATCTTCCTCCTCCCATAGACTTTTCTCCTTCAAAAGATGCTCATAAATCTGTAGAAAAGCGTATGCTTGAGTTCATAGATTCTCATGAAACTTGTGTTAAAGAAGCGATTGTCAAGCATGTGATTTCCCGTTCTAATTCAGCTACACTTGCTGGGTTGGTAGTTGATATGTCTTATACATCAATGATCGATGTGGGAAATGAACTTGGTGTTCCTTCTTATTTGTTCTTCCCTTCTACTGCAGCTTTTCTTGGTCTTATGCTGTACCTTCCAACTCAACATGATGAAGTTGGAAGAGGAGTTGAAGAGTTTGATGGCGAGTTGATGATCCCTAGTTATGTTAATCCAATTCCAAGCAGTGGTCTGCTAGAAGTTTTGTTAAACATTCCAGGAGCTGGAATCTCATGCGGTTAAGTCTCTGTTGAATGATTTTGATCATATGCCACCAATTTACACGGTCGGACCAGTTATTGATGTAAAGGGACGTCAGAGTGATGAGACAGAAAAAGCTGATGAGATAATGAAATGGGTTGATGATCAGCCTGATTCATCAGTTGTTTTCTTGTGCTTTGGAAGCCCGGGGAGCTTTAGTGAAGAACAAGTCAAAGAAATTGGATTTGGATTGGAGCAAAGTGGGGTAAGGTTCTTGTGGTCTTTACGGAAGCCACCACCAAATGGCGAATTTGAAGGGCCTAGTGATTACAATAGTGATAATCTCCAGGAAATCTTGCCAAATGGGTTCTTGGAAAGAACAAAGGAAAAGGGTTTGGTGTGTGGACGGGCACCACAAAAGGAGGTGTTGGCTCATAAATCAGTGGGAGGATTCGTGTCACGTTGTGGGTGGAATTCAATCTTGGAGAGCTTGTGGTTTGGTGTTCCAATTGTGACATGGCCTATGTATGCTGAGCAGCAGCTTAATGCTTTCCAAATGGTGAAAGATTTGGGATTGGCCGTGGAGTTGAGAGTAGATTATAGGATCACTAATGGGGAAGTTGCATTGGGAGATGAAATAGGAAGAGCTATAAAATGTGTGATGGAGAGTGATAATGAAGTGAGGAAGAAGGTGAAAGTGATGAGTGAAAAGAGCAGATTAGCAGTGATGGAAGGAGGATCTTCATTTGCTGCATTTGGACGCTTTATTGATGATGTATTATGAAATATGTCATGAATGAAGCACAATCTTAATCGTCTTTTTGTATTGCAAGAGAAAATTATGCAAGGTAATTGATTGTTGCTTTAAGTGCATTAACTATGAGTTATTCCCTATACCACATTAACTATACATAGGGGTGTCAGTCGAGCCGAGCCGCTCACGAGTCGACTTGGCTCGGCTCGTTAAATTCTCGAACTCGGCTCGAGTTTAATTGACCGGAGCTGGCTCAAGTACGACTCCAATTAGTTACCAAGCCGAGTTTGAGTCTACCTCGGCTCAGCTCGATTCGGCTTGTGAGTCAATAGTGGCTCGTTTAGGGTTTTTCTAAAAAAAATATAAGTTTTAGGTCTGTCTTGTAAATTTACATGCAAAAGGTTAAAAATATTGCAAATATACCCTTAACCCAAATCGCATAAACGATTTCCCCAAAATCATAAACNTTGATGAGCTGTTGCCAGCTGGGTTCTTGGAGAGGACAAAGGAGATTGGAATGGTGTGTAAATGGGCACCACAAAAGGAGATCTTGGCTCATAAATCAGTAGGGGGATTTGTGTCCCATTGTGGGTGGAATTCAAGCTTGGAGAGCTTGTGGTTTGGAGTTCCAATTGTGACATGGCCTATGTATGCTGAGCAGCAGATGAATGCATTCCAAATGGTGAAAGATTTGGGAGTCGCTGTGGAGTTGAGATTGGATTACAGAAGCATGAGTGGAGAGGTTGTGTTGGGAGATGAGATAGCAAGAGCTATAAAATGTGTGATGGAGATTGATAATGAGGTGAGGAAGAAGGTGAGAGAAAAGACTGAACAGAGCAGGCTAGCTGTGAAGGAGGGTGGATCTTCATTTACTGCATTTCAACGCTTGATTGATGATATTTGTCTCAATTTAGAAACAAATTAAGCCATGAATTTCATGGTTGGAGTTCTATTGTCATCTTTGATCTCTTTTAAGTTTTTCATGTTGGATTTGTAATAAAATTCTTTAGTTTAATAAAGCAATTTCAAAAACTATCCCTACCCTTCTACTAATATTCAAACTCATGACAACTGTTGAACATTTAATAAAAATTTCTGAAATAATAAAATTAAATAAACACAAACCCACCACCAACCACCCCATACCCAAATCATCGTATCAATCTCCAGACATTACCCACTATACATTCCACCACCATTTATTATGTCACCCCTAAATTAATCATCTATCATTCCCCACACACCGTAGCCCACCTTTTAAACCATCAACACAACAAACAAAAGTTTTCAAACAAATCATTTAGTTAACCAACACAAGCAACCATCGAATTCACTATAAAAACAATCAAATCCATGAAAACAAAGCAAATAAAAAAGAGAGGAAAATATAAATTAGATTGGATTGTCTAATATTGATTGGCAACATAGTAAAATTGAACCCTTTATTCTTATTATATTTACTATCTCTTTGGCTTTCTATTTCCTCTTATTCCTAATTCGGTTCATCCTATTCTTATTTCTATTCTAGTTTATGTTCTTGTTCTTGTTTCTATTTCTATTCTAATTCTTGATCTTATTATAATTCCATTTTTATTCCAATTCGAGTTCTTACTCTAATTTCGGCTACAATGTTTATGCCAATTTTACTTCTATTTTGGCTATTATTCCTGTTCTGATTCCTATTCTTATTAATATTCCTATTCATATTTTGTTTCCTATTCGTATTTCAATTTCCATTCATATTCCAGTTCCTATTCGGGTTTCAGTTCTTATTGTTATTCCAAGTGGTATTTATATTCTGGTTTCCATAAGCAATCCCATTCCCGTTCCAAATCCAAATTCGAATCCATTTCCCTTTCCTACTCGCACTCCGATTCTATTTCCCTTTCCTATCCTCACTTCGATTCCATTTCCGATTTTTATTCTGAGAAATGTCACAAAGGAAAAGAAAAAGGTTACTTCATCTTCTCTCATATCTACAACCACCAACAACGAAGAGAGCTCAGCTTGTGTTCATCCCTTTACCAAGCATAGGTCACCTGCTTCCCGAAATTGGGTTTGCAAATCGATTGTTAGATCAAGATGAATATGGTTCTCAGAAATTGTTCTTCTCATGCATTCTGCTTATAGTAGAAATGCTAAGACACCTACATCCATGAATTCAGTAGCAGCATCCAACTCTCAAATAAGGTTCATCAATCTTCCTCCTTTTGTAGACTTCTCTCCTTCACAAGAGGCTAATAAATCTATAGAAAAATTTGTAACTGAGTTCATAGGTTGTCATAAAGCTAATTGTCGGTTCAATCCAATTACCAATTTCAACTTAACGAACTAAAATCAAGAACAATCACCACACTCAAGAAAACAATCAACCAAGAAGAACACGATTTACCGTGGTTCACTTATCCAAGATTTGGATAAACTACATCCATATTGAGCTCCACAATTGAGGAGCTCTCTGCACTAATTAGAACCTTTGTTACAGATTACATTCACACACATACTCTAATATCCTCACTTTCTTTCCACTAAACACTTTCTTCTTTACACCCTCAAATCTGCCCCAAGGGAACTCAACTTGGACACCCTTACACCTGAGAGTAAACCCAACCCTTAACACAATGACTAAATGTTACTACTACAATGACAAATTTACACAGAAGAACCAAGAAAAACAAAGCTTAATACAATGCAGATCTGGAAAACTAAGAGAGATATTCATTTTTTTTTTTTTTTTTAACTTCAGAAGAGAGAGAGGGTGCTTTTATACTCTTGTTCAGGTGGCCTCATAACAACCTTCAGATCATATTGCAAATCCACAGTCAGAAAATGTAATACTTTCTTTCTAGCTAGTATACTCGTAAAATAATCAATAAAACTCATTAAAAATATATATATGAAAATACATATATAAACGAGTAATAAAGTATGGGCCCATATTTAATTTTTCTTTATATACAAATATTTACAAAATATACTCAAAATAACAACTTGACAATGTAACCCATCCCTTCCACCACATGACGTTCCGAGTGATCGCAACTCACCTATTACCTACAAAAACATTGAAAACAACGGAGTGAACACTAATTGCTCAGTAAGTAAACCCGTTATGCTACCCTCCTCTCTCCGTTGCTTAAATCCTGAATTTTCTTTTCTTACAACTCATTTCCCGAGTATTCTCTATTCTTCTCTCTGTTCTTTCTTTGTTTTGCTCACTGTTTTTCTCTCAATTTTCTAATTTTTCACTACTCACAATAATGAGCATGGTATTATGCATATTCATGATGCAAATGCATAGGTTATGCATTTTCTTTCTATTTTTCTCATTCTGTTTTATGTTTCTTATTCTTTATTTCTTTCTTTCTTTTCTAGTCTTTCTTTATGTTCTTTCTTTCTTTCTTTTCTATTCTTTCTTTCTTTCTTTCTTTCTATTCTTTCTTTTCTTGCCGATCGGACTCGGTTGAGGCATGGATTTGGAGCCTTGGCCGTGTAAGTGAATTCTCTAATTCTGGGTACAGTGCTCACCACACGCACGTCTAACGGACTGTACAATTCTTTTTTCTAAATTATGAGGCTGCTCACTAAAGGCGGCATGCATGTAGGACTATGTCACTCACAGGCACCCCATCGCAACAACCTTCTCTTCTTTTTATCTTTTTACACTTCTTTAACTAAAATTTCATATTTGAATATCTTAATATTCTCATTTCTTTCTATTTTCTCTTTAACATATTTTAGTGTTTTTTCATGCTCTTATGAAGATATATGTATGTAGATGGTTTCATGCTTATAATTCTTTCTAAATGCAAATGTTTAAATGCAAGGATGCCATGTAGCATAAAAAAATTAGTTTCTCTCTACCATCTACAAACTCATATCAATTCATAAATGAATAAAACTCATGCATACACTTCTTTTGGACATTTCATCAAACTTATTGCATGCATAATCAAACTCTAATTTGACTACAATTCTATCTCTTTCTCGAGCCACCAATATTTGGAGTAAAACTCCCTTAAACAATTACTAAACATGTCCATAACAATACATTCCCAAAAATTCTACTCAACTCTTTCTAACTTCAACCAAACTTCAAGTAATCATCATACAACCAAAACCACTTCTCATGGCTAAATTCTACTCATCAATAATCATCAAACTCATCCATAATTCATCAATTTCATCAACAATTCTCAAAATCATAAGCATATACATATATGTAAAATCTCTACACACTTGATTTCTCAAATCATAACTTGGGTGGGATTTACTTACCTTTGATATTAGCAATCCAACCCCTTTAAGAATCTTCTTGATCAAACTCTCTTCCTCTTAAATCCTATAAGCACAAACCATCAAAATTTAACACTTTAAAAATTAAAAATCACTTCTTAGTACAAGGATCTTACCTAAAGTTGCTTGGGATTGAAAGTCCATTCAAAATACCCAAAATCTTTGAATTTCTTTTGAAAAAGAAGTGAAGAAATTGAGAGGATTTGGAGGAGAAGTGGCGTGAAAATAGGTTGAAGAGTGGCTAGGGTTTCACTCTTCAATCCTTGATATAACATAAAAATATATATTAGTATCCCATTTTGCCCTTACACTTTCTTTAAAATTCCATCTATGTCCCTTACTCAATTACCATAATGCCCTCATTTTTATTGCATTCTCCATGAAATTCTATATCTTTTCACTCCCCACTTTTTCAACTAATTTTGAGTGAAAAGACCATTTTACCCTTAATGCAAGTTTAAGGCATTTTCTTTACATTTTCTCAAAATAACTTTAGCAAAAATCAACTAAAGGTATAAGAGCATAAATTAAATTACGTACCTCCATGTGGGCATTACAAGAAAGGTGCAAGGCAAAGCGGCAACGTATCAGTTTAGTTATGCGACACAGTTTCTGACTTCACCTTCTACAATCTCCACCTTGAAGTCAGAATTTCTAGCAATACCACGCTAACTCTCACTTGTGTAGAGAACTCATCATCAATTGCTTCTTAGTTTTGCTCCTTAATGTTTAGCTGATAGACACCAAATCCAAGCAATGCTTGAATTTGGTAGAAGTGACTACCTTTGTGCCCATATTTGCAGGATTGTCTTCAGTTGGAATCTTCCTTAAGTCAATCACTTTTTTAGCAATTAGATTCGTTACAAAGTGGTACCTTACATCCACTATGGTACTAAGAAGCAAATCCGAGCAATGCTTCTTTGAAGGCATCAATTGGATGATCCTTGATATACATCCACGTATTCAGAAGCAAATCCAGCCAAAGTGCTATACATCTAAGCAAAAACCCAGTTTACCATGAGAGGACCAGTTTACAATAGTTTAAACCAATATGTAAAGAACCATTGATATTCCTAAGCAACCACTTTAATGCAATCCAATTATCATAGCCAAGATTAGACATAAATCTACTAAGTAAGGAAATTGCGAAGGACAAATCTGGTCTAGAGCTAATCATGGCATACATTACAGACCCTACTGCATTAGAGTAGGGGATATTCTCTATCTTAATCATTTTAGCATCAGATGTACGACATTGTAGTTTACTCAAGATAAAATGACTTGCAAGTGGCAAATTGATAGGTTTGGATTCTGACATACCAAACTTAGTGACCAGTTTTTGTAAGTATGACAACTGATGGACTCTTAGCTCATGATTTTTTCTATTTCTTTCAATGAACATTCCCAGAATTTTCTTAACAATTCCTAAGTTCTTCATATCAAATTCTAAGTTCAGTTTCAGTTTTAAATTATTTATCTTTGATTCAAACTTACTAATTAGGAGCATGTCATCAATATATAATAGCAAGTAAATATGCATATCATCAGTGGAGGCAAAATAAAAACAGTTATCATATTCGCTCTTAGAGAACCTAACGCTCAATATAAAGGTATCAAACCTTTTATACCATTACCTAGGTGATTGCTTAAGGCCATAAAGGGATTTATGCAACATACAAACATGGTTAGGAAATTTTTTTATCTATGAATCTAGTAGGCTGTTTTTATGTCT